GCTTGTCCGTCCTGGAGTGGGACAAGACGCGCGGGCCGCAGTGGGACTTGAGCCAGCGTGCCACGCAGAAGTTCGTGAGAGGCTGGATTCTGGCCGGGCTCGTGTGGGGTGTGTTCATGGGCACTCCATGTCAGACTTGGACGAGGGCGCAGGACACCGGGCCCCTTCGAGATCCTGACAACCCTCGACCCTGCCTGCCATCCCGTCTTCGCAGTGACCAAGAGTTGATGGGCTTGAGTGACCTCAAGCATCCCGGCGATCTCGAGGCTGTGAGAGTAGGCAATATGTTGGCCGCCTTCTGTTGTAGCATCTTCGACCTCATGCACCTCCTAGCTCTGCCTGTCGCCATCGAGAATCCTGCCCGCTCGCGTCTGTGGCTCCTTCCTCGTCTTTTAAAGGCCAGCAGCTGGGCTTCCTCTTCGTTCATTATTACAGACATGTGTCAGTGGGGAACGCCGTGGAAGAAACCTACAGGTGTTCTAGGCGATCGAATCTCTCTCGCAAATCTTGCCTGTCGATGTTCAGGGAAAGTCTGTAGTCGCACTAATAAGCCTCACACGTCAATTCACGGGTTGGCAGCAGCAGGTGGTTTCAAGACGAAGGCCGCCGAGCGCTACCCCCCTCGCTTTTGCAGTGCGCTCGCGGCCGCTTTCGACCAGGCCCACGGGAGCGCCAAGACGAAACAGCTCTCACCCCTTTTTGCGTAAATGTGCTTCCCCCTGCAGTGTCTAATTAATCGAGATGACCAACTGGAAAGTGTGGCAAGGTTGCGTGTTGTGAGCCCTCGTCTCTGGCTAATGTTCTCAGTTCGCGCCCAGGCTCCGCCCGACGCGAACCGATCGTGTTCCAGAGCCGGTGCATCCTTGCCTAAGCTCGTCTGCGCCCAGAGGTGCCGCAGAAAAGAAGTCCCCTGGCCTTGGCAGCGGCGGCAGCAGGCATCCTCCTCCTCCTCCTCCTCCGCCTCCCCTCCTCCTCTCCTCCTCCTCCTCCTTCTCATCCTCCTCCTCCTCCTCCGCCTCCTCCCTCCTCCTACTCCTCCTCCTCCTCCTCCGCCTCCTCCTCCCTCCTCCTCCTCATCCGCCTCCCTCTCCGCCTCCCCCTCCCCCGCCCCCTCGTCCCTCCCCCTCGACCACTCCCCCTCCCCCTTCCGCTCCCCCTCCCTCCTCCGCCTCCCTCCTCCTCCGCCTCCTCCTCCTCCTCTTCCTCCTGCTGCTGCTCCTCCTCCTCCTCCTCCTCCTCCTCCTCCTCCTCTGCGCTCTCGCAGGGCGCAGGCGGCACGTTTTCCCACGGCCTTGTCGGAGGCCCGCGCCGGCGTCGTGAACGCAGCCCCAGGGCTCGAGTGCATTGAGGACGCGCATCAAGAAACCGTATGCTTTTCGTCCGGGTGTCCTGGGTTTCTTCGCTCCGCGCGCTGCGCGGTGACTTCCCGCGGCCGTTGGAGAAGCTGCTGCGTTCAGAGTGCTCCGGGCTCCCCCTCGGGTGCACCCCGCGCGCGGGCTTTCAGGGTTGGGTTTCTTGCGAGGGTTGCTTGCGGCCGCGCCCGCATTGTACTCCAGGACTCGGGTTTGTCAGCGTTTCTTGGCGAGCGCGTCCTGGACTTCACGGTCCAGTTTTCGTGGGATGTCTGCAGCGGGAGGAGAGTGTTTCTTTATTGCTTGGGGCATACTGGGCATTATAGTCCCCGGCCCCCCCTCCCCTTCTATAACGTAACGCCCCTCCCCCCCCCCCAGTGCGCTCCGGGCACTGCCGCCGTGCGCACGGCGGGGGGGAGGCGTTACATTACACGCCCCCCCTGGCCCCTCCCCCCTATTATGCCCATTCTCGCCGAAGATAAAGGAACGCGCTCGAGCTCGCGTCAAAGCTCAGACTGGGTCTCGTCATCTTCATGCTTGCCCCGCCAGGCCAACCCGAGTCTGCCGAGCCCGAGTCGCACGTCTCGCCGATATAAGCGGTGCTTTGGCCACTTCGTGGGCCGTTTTTGTTTTCCGATTCCCGCTTCGCGGCAGAAAGACAGCATGAGGACAGTGCGGAGGACCACGGAACGCGGACTTTCCGCAGGTTTGGGAGGGCTATTCCTCAGCACCCTGGATCGACAAATAACAAGCACTATGAAACAAACATCAATTGTTGGCGCTCCGCGCGGATTTCTTGGATCCGCGCTGGGCCCCCCCCTGCGGCGCCTCCGGCGCCGCCCCTGGCGGGCTCCGCGCGGCGCCAGGGAGGGGGACCCAGGGCAGATTCAAAAAATCTGCGCGGAGCGCCAACAGTTTATGATTCTGGCGTTTTCTGTTCTTTTACTTTTTCCCCTTCGTCTTCTTCTTCTTCTTCTTCTTCTTCTTCCTCGTCTTCTTCTTCTTGCCTCTTCCTCGGCAGAGGTTTTGACGGACGTTCCAAACCTGCTTTGGCCCTGATCGCCAGCAGGGCTCTCGCGCACCAGGAAGGTATACCGCAGCTCGATGGGGCCTCGCGCGTCGGGCCCCGGTGAGGCGAGGCTCGCTCGACGCCGTTTCGATGCTTTTCTCGGGGGCGGCTCCTCCTCCTCCTCCTCCTCCTCCTCCTCCTCCTCCTCCTCCCCACGTCCTCATCCTCTTCCTCTTCTCCTCCTCCCCCTCCTCCTCCCTCCTCCTCCTCCTCCTCCTCCTCCTCCGCCCTACTCTCATACCTCGACCGCTAGGGGGGTGGATGTCACGGCGGGGAGCCACGAGATTTCCCACAGATTCATGGCCTCCTCTTGCACTGATGCGTCCCCAGCCCCCCCCCCCCCCCGGGCCGCGCACGTGCCGCCGGCCACGAGTTGCACCCCCCCCCCCTCTTGGGCGCCTCTCTCTCTGCCGCCCCCGATTTTCCTGGGTGCTCGAAGGTCTTTTGTGGGATGTGGTCCTCGAGTGCAGTCCACCCGCACAGCAAGCAGGGGCAACCTTCCCAAGGGCCCCCTTGCGTCCCTGCCCCTTCGGCCCAGCCTCAGCGACTGTCGCTGGCCAACCTCGTTCGAAAAACGTTCGCATGGGCCTCCAAGGCCCTTTGCATCCTTACCGTGCGTCCCTATGACTCGGGTTGACTGCACAATGGGAGCAACATCGTGCACGGGAGCTGTCGTCCCTCTCCCTCGGCGGAGGGCTCGGCGGCGAGCGGGGGGGGGGGGTTCGGTGGCAGAGCATGGGAGCCCGGTGTGCCCTGTTACGCCCGTCTTTAGCGTCGGCTGGCGTCGATGAGCGTCTGGAGTCGATGAGATGGAGCCGATGTAGCGTTGGTCAGCGTCGATGTAACGTCGATTGGCGTCGATTTAGCGTCGATGAGCGTCGATTTAGCGTCGATTCGCAGGAGCCGACAAGATGGTATGGGAGGCTCCCCTGAGTCGCCACCGAAGAGGGGAACGAGAAGGAGAAGGCCCTCTCAGAAGGCGGTGGGACTTCTCAGAAGCCCTCGCGCCCTCTGGCAGGCTTCTGTGTTTTCGGGCAAGGCTCAGAACCCTTCTCGAGCGGCTGGGGGACTTCGAACCTTCTGAGAAGGCCTTCTACTCCTCACTTCCCCCCCCCCGCTCGCCGCCGAAGGGCGGCGGAAGGTCGGCGGGAGCCTGCGGAAACGCAGCTAAGTCGCTGCAATAAGGACCAGTTTGGGTTCGGAAGGGGCTCGATGTTCCTCAGGTCCTTCCTCGGCTGTTCCTCTAGCCCTCCTGGTGCACCCAGGCGCTTCTGGCGCCACACATGAGCTTCGCTCTTCATTTAGCGTTCCTTCTGGTAGTACCTCGACTGTAGAACGGGGATGGCTCTGCCGGCGGAAGCCGGCGGAAGGCGGGCGGAAGCTGGCGGAAGCAAAACATGCGCGCCCAGGACATGGTCACCTGTTTGGGTTCAGGGCTTCTTGCGCCCGCAGCCTCCCCGACCCCACTGGAGGAAGGTTGCCGCTCGAGCTCCTGTTCCGAGCGGGCTTCGAGGATCGAGGATCGAACGCTTCGTGCGCCTCTGGCCATCTCTGGGGCTCTGTCAAAGGGCAACGCCATCGGGCGGGGGACGGGTTCCGTGGGAGCGCATCTGATGGGCATGTTTTCCACCACCACCACCATAAGTTAGAGGGGGGGGGAGGAGGAGGACGAATAGGAGGAGGAGGGGGAAGACGAAGAGGAGGAGCAGGAGGAGGAGGAGGAGGACCCCCCCCCCCTGCAACCTATGGTGGTGGTGGTGGAAGACACACCCATCAGCATCGACCCCCCTCGCCCACGGATCGCCGGCGGGAGAGGGCGCCGGCCCGCCCCGCCCGGGCCAGGAACGTCCGACGACCCGCCGTGGGCAGGAAGGGCTTTCGGTGCGAGCTGGCTCGGCGTGTTGTGCCAGCTCGGCTGAAGCCGCCGTGCGTTGATGATGGGCGTGTTTTCCACCACCACCACCATAAGTTGGAGGGGGGGACCTCCTCCTCCTCCTCCTCCTCCTCCTCCTTCCCCCCTCCAACTTATGGTGGTGGTGGTGGTGGAAAACAGGCTCATCAGTTGATGGTCACTCCTGTCTAGGCCTGCTAGATGGGATCGGAGTAGACGGTGTCGGAGGATTGCGCCGCATCGCCGATGCATCGGCGATGCGTCTCGACGTGGAGCCCGAGATTCTCCGAGCCGGTGTCGGCGGTGCACCGCCGACGTCGCCGATGCATCGTCGAGGCATCGTCGATGCATCGGCGATGCGGCCCGATCCTCCGACCCCATCTACTCGGACCCAAATCGAGGATCTAGGAGGCCTCTCTCTTGCCCAGGGCCACTCCTGCGTGTGGTGTTACCGACAGAGGAGGCAAAAGGCCGGCGTATTCGGTCCTGTCCGAGCCGCTGGATGCCCGGGGGACGCCGCCACCGCCGTCGCTGCTGTCGCCGTGCTCGTTCTCGTCGCCGCCGCCGCCGTGCGCGTCTTCGTCGTCGTCTTCGTCTTCATCTTCGTCTTCGTCTTGTTCTTCTTCTTCGTCGTTGAATTCGTCGTCGTCGCATTCGGCGGCGCGGCCGAGCGTGCGCGCGGGCCGAGGAGCCGCTCAAGCCGCTCCTCGCCAAGCTGCCCGCCGAGCCGCTCGGGGCGGGGCGGGGCGGGGGGGGGTGGTGCGGGGCCGAGGAGGGGGATCGAGGAGGATCGAGGAGGGTGGCCCGATGGAGGGTCGGGAGGCTCGAGGAGGAATGAGCGAGGGTGGAGGAGGAGGAGGGGGAGGAGGAGGAGGAGGGGGAGGAGGAGGAGGAGGAGGAGGAGTAGGAGGGGGAGGAGGAGGACGAGCAGACCGAGGTCGCTCCCCCGAGAGCTCGGCGGCGCGCAGGAAAGGGGGCCGCATGCGGGGTGGGCGGCTTTTTTTTTCGAGGGGGCTTCGAGGAGCTTCTCTGAGACGCCCTCCCAGTCTCTTTGCGAAGCCCGCTTGCAGAAGTCTTTGGGCCCACAGTGAGCGGCTTGGATAATCACCGAGCGCGTTCCAGTACTCGCAGAGTGTCTACTCGCAAACGTCAGAGAAAAAAACACATGTCTGCTTCGATG